CTACCCGGAATATACATACTATGAACAACCCAAAAGTATAACTTATACCTAAACTCAAAAGTAGGCTTTACACATCAGTCCCTAATCGATCATCCGACCTTGTTTTTGCCTTTGCCAATTTGCCCTGAAAAGTTAAAACCACTAAAAGATAAGCTATATGGCTTAGTGAATTTATGTGGGAAAATGTGGTTACAATGTGTTATATAAGCGTACATACTACGAAATAAAGAAGGTCTCGAAATAAATTTTGCATAACAACACGACAACAACTTAGTTGTACCACATGATGTCCTTTACAACAATCTACTTTGAATGTGGGAATCACAAAAGAATGTTCAACATAGAAAAAGAACATCAATATAATCAACATCATCCTTAAGATCAAGCAAGGTCACATACCAATTAACTTCACACACAAACATAAGACTTGGCACCAAATCCGACCTTCTTCTTTCGGATTATGCCAAAGTCCTATACTCACCCCCTGGCTCCCACTGGGCAGTGAGTATGGCAGCCCCTCCGGTTGTCTCACCCGGACTCCATGGGATATCGACAATCGTCGCCCAAAACACACCACAAAACAATACAAGCAATAAGACCAATTCGAGGTGATAATCTAGAACTAACATGAATCATGGATAAACAATAAAACATCATATCATATATAATCACAAAGTACACACATATGTCCACATAAACTCACAATGTTGATTAATGAAATCGGTTGATCAAACCGGAAGCCAAACCGAAAGATCGAATCCTAACTCCCGCTCAGTGGTTGGAAAGCACTTACAAGGCCTTAAATTATGCTTAAATAACACCTGGAGTTCATATATAAAGTCTTATTAACAATGCACAACAATAACATAAAATTAACCCTTTTTAATTCAAGTTTTCCACTTTAGTTTTCTTCTTACAGCACCTACTTGCAGACCTGTTTTGACCTTCTTCAACTCAAAATCATTAAATGACTTTCAAATATGAATTGTAGAAATTTTTATTACCTTTCTAGAGCCTATTTGTACATATTTTTAGGATTTTTCTACAATCTTATACGATTTTTCTAAAACAGAACTTATACCAAGACTTTCAAACTCGAAGATAACTATTTTTCACCTTTTCATGTTAAACTCCAAACCATTTTGAACCAAATTCATATATTAGTCTTATATTACCATAACTTATATRAAATCATCATGAATCCATCATTACTTTACTAAACATTCACCTAGTTCATCTTCATATAAGGTTGACTATCAAAAGTCAAACTTTCCCAAACCATATCATGTATACATAACTATTTCTTTTTATCTAATCATGATTTCCACAAGATAATAAGTTATGTATTACATATCCTACACAATATCAAGATTTCAGCTTATAATCCTCAACATGCAACCATAATTTCATGGTTTCTWGAACTCAAAATGAATACATTATCAAAAATGGAAACATACCTTCAATAATCTTGCAAACTTTCACCAATTTCTTGCTAAACCACCCAAGTTTGGTTCCCTTGAAGAGTACAGAAGCTTAGAAATGAAAATGGGGAAGAATTGGGCTGAATTTGTGTTTATATGTCTAAAACCCGAGTTGGGTCGGTTTGACCCGGCAGGGTACCCGTTTTGACCATTAAACACTAAAAATTGTATAATTTTTCGCTCGGAACTCCGTTTTCGATGAAGTTTTCGTCTACGCGTTCATAACAAAATAATATATAATTTACAATAAAAAAATTCATAAAAGACCTCCCAACAACAGCAGTTTTCATATTTGTACGAGTTATGCTTTCCTTTGAAATTTTGCCGTTTTTGATTTTGAGTTCGGAATCCCGTAAAAATTTTCCAACACCTCCAACAACTCCTAATAAGTCCAAAACTTAGTTCCAAAGCTTAACACCCTATCAAAAACCTCCCAATTGAGTATTGTGCACGTAGTTTATCGAAATCATACCGTAATTTGAAAAACTTGCATAAAATGCAAACTACGCGACTTTTTCGACTTCCGACAATTCTAACACTTCATATTAACTTATTCAAAGGTGTTCCAACATTTAGATCTTCCATTCAAGTTTTGGGTAGATTTTTCTCATTTAGGCACTCTAGATACCTACCCAACTATCATGTATGCAATGCACTCTGTATGTTGAACCCTCACATTATCTAATTATGTCATTTGTGAGGTGTTAGCACCAATCTCACCTTCTACATCTCATTCCAATTATGAGTTCTACTTATAGCTCACTAGTATACTTAGCATTTTAGCATTTTTTTTAAAATAATCACATAAGGTATGTTTATAATTACTAGTTAAACATATTTAAACAGGTGGATGTTACAAGTTATAGGGGAATGATCGGCTCCTTACTTTATCTTACTGCTAGCCGACCGGATATTATGTTCTCCACGTGTCTTTGTGCAAGATACCAAGCGATTCAAAGGAATCTCACTTGGCAGCCGTTAAGTACATTTTCAGGTACCTGAAGGGTACTCCCAATATGGGTCTTTGGTATCCCAAAGACTCAGGTTTTGATCTAACAGGTTTTTCAGATTCTGATTATGCAGGCTGTAAAGTTGACAGAAAAAGTACTACTGGTAGTTGTCAGTTGTTGGGTGGAAAGTTAGTCAGTTGGACTAGCAAGAAACAACACTCTGTGTCCACCTCAACAGCTGAAGCTGAGTATGTTGCTGCAGGTAGCTGTTGTGCACAAGTCTTGTGGATGAAAAATCAGTTAGTTGATTACGATCAATTGTTCACAGAAATTCCTATTTTCTGTGACAATTCAAGTGACATTGCTATTGCCAACAATCCAGTTCTTCACTCTCGTACCAAGCATATTGATATTCGATATCACTTTATCAKAGATCATGTGATGAAAGGTGATGTTGAACTTCATTTTATCCCTACAGACTATTAACTCGCTGACTTGTTTACCAAGCCTCTTGATAAAGCTCGGTTTAAGTTTTTGATCAATGAGTTAGGAATGTTGAATGTTGACAAATAATTTTTTGGGTCTTCACTAATTCTTTTGGGTTGTGTGTTTTCTCAAAAAATGTTGTCATTTACCTAAAAATAGTCTGGTATTTGTGTGAATATGCTTTCTTTCTTTTTCTAAAATATTGATTTTTTGAAAATGATGGGTTTTACACTCGTGTATTTTTTTTTGAAAATCAATTTCTATTTTTCTCTCTAAGGTCTCTGTGTGATTTCCTTAAAAAAATTCGTATTTTTTAAATTTATTTCATGTTTGTATCTTTTTAATTTTTTTATTTTATGTTAAAAATAAATGAAAAAGACAGATAAAAAGTTTTATTTTATAATTGTGTACTAGTTTTATTTTTTGTTTTCTTGGTCTTTGTGGTCTTTGTGGTCTTTGGGCCTATCCGCTTTGGGTCAACCTAAATCCTACCCTAACCTACACTAGCCGATCTCTCAATCTCTCCTCTCCAAGCCGATTCCAATCGGCTCCTCCCTCTTTCTCTCTATCAATCGGCCTACCCTAAAATCCAACATCATAAGCCGAAACCCCTCCCCTCCAAGCCTATCCTCTTTTCCACAAACCGAACCCCCTCTTCCCCTCCTC